TTGTGTAGTGTGATTCAGTGACAGGACGCGAAGAATGTTGTGCCCTGAGCACAGTAGGGTTTGAGTTATGATACAGGAAACTTCCATAATACCAGGGCCACACACACACACACACACAAAGGGAGGTGCTGCAGATCATATCACCTCTCATTCTGATGCAACCAGATGATACAGTCGATGGCACATACTTGCCTTTTTGCTCAGCTCTGAATGTACGCTTTATACTTCCCTAACCTCTACTTGACTATCTTTCCTCTCAAACTTGCATATGACTTACAGTGCCGTCGGAAAGTATTCAGACCCATTTACTTTTTACACACTTTGTTTCGTTACAGCCTTATTCTAAAACGGATAAAAAAATAATAATCCACAGCAATCTACACACAATACCCCATAATGACAAAGTGAAAACAGATTTTTAGAAATGTTTGCAAATTAATAAAAAATACAAAACAGAAATACCTTATTTACATAAGTATTAAGACCCTTTGCTATGAGACTCGAAATTGAGCTCAGGTACATCCTGTTTCCATTGATCATCCTTGAGATGTTTCTACAACTTGATTGGAGTCCACCTGTGGTACATTCAATTGATTGGACATGATTTGGAAAGGCACGCACCTGTCTATATAACGTCCAACAGTTGACAGTGCATGTCAGAGCAAAAACCAAGCCATGAGGTCGAAGGATTTGTCCGTAGAACTCCGAGACAGGATTATGTCGAGGCACAGATCTGGTGAAGGGTACGATTATAATTTTTTTGCATTGAAGGTCCCCAAGAACACAGTGGCCTCCATCATTCTTAAATGGAAGATGTTTGGAACCACCAAGACTCTTCCTAGAGCTGGCCGCCCGGCCAAACTGAGCAATCGGGGGAGAAGGGCCTTGGTCAGGGAGGTGACCAAGAACCTGATGGTCACTCTGACAGAGCTCTAGAGTTATTCTGTGGATATGGGAGAACCTTCCAGAAGGACAACCATTTCTGCAGCACTCCACCAATCAGGCCTTTATGGTAGAGTGGCCAGACGGAAGCCACTCCTCAGTAAAGGCACATGACAGCCCGCTTGGAGTTTGCCAAAAGTCACCTAAAGACTCTCAGACCATGAGAAACAAGATTATCTGGTCTGATGAAACCAAGATTGAACTCTTTGGACTGAATGCCAAGCGTCACTTCTAGAGGAAACATGGCACCATCCCTACGGTGAAGCTTGGTGGTGGCAGCATCATGCTTTGGGGATGTTTTTCAGCGGCAGGGACTGGAAGACTAGTCAGGATTGAGGCAAAGGTGAACAGAGCAAAGTACAGAGAGATCCTTGATGAAAACCTGCTCCAGAGCGCTCAGGACCTCAGACTGGGGCGAAGGTTCACCTTCCAACAGGACAACAACCCTAAGCACACAGCCAAGACAACGCAGGAGTGGCTTCGGGACAAGTCTCTGAATGTCCTTGAGTGGCCCAGCCAGAGCCCGGACTTGAACCCGATCAAACATCTCTGGAGCGACCTGATAATAGCTGTGCAGCAACGCTCCCCTTCCAACCTGACAGAGCTTGAGAGGATCTGCAGATAAGAATGGGAGAAACTCCCAAAATACAGGTGTGCCAAGCTTGTAGTGTAATACCCAAGAAGACTATGCTGTAATCGCTGCCAAAGGTGCTTCAACAAAGTACTGAGTAAAGGGTCTGAAAACTTATGTAAATGTAATATTTCCGTTTTTTATCTTTAATACATTTGCAAAAATTTCTAAAAACCTGTTTTTTGCTTTGTCATTATGGGGTATTGTGTGTAGATTGATGAGGGGAAAAAACAATTTAATCAATTTTAGAATAAGGCTGTAACGCAACAAAATGTTGAAAAAGTCAAGGGGTCTGAATACTTTCCGAAGGCACTGTATATACAGTACAACCTTTGTTTAAATGTGAGAGAAATTGCTTTCATAGTACAAACCATTTGGGGTCAAACATTTACAGTAAAGCACATTATCATTGAACTAATGTTCTATGGGATGTAACTCTATCATTCAGAGGTGTCACATTTCCTTGTGGAGGTCTTTGCTGTGACCGGCCCAGTAACCCTAACCTCATCTCACAACCCCACACAGACCCACACAATGAGGCTGCTCGTCCCACACAAAGACTCCTGATGTAGGCGTAACACTACACCTCAACGCTCTGACACCAAAATAATACGGCTACTGTACAGTAAGGTGGGACATATAAACTTAAACAGCAACCCAATCTGTCTGTCTCTGTTTGTAGGAGACGTTCTCAGGTTTGCCTAATGTCTGTAGAACTATTGTGTAGGTTTGTGAGACGGTGGTAGAATTCTTTGTTAATACAGAATGGAGAGGTATATACTATATGTTAATTGCAAGCTTACATACTTATTAATATCTCATGCTGCAGCTTACTCAACAGGCTAGCTAACAGGGTTGTTTTGATATGGACTGTATGAAATGCATTAACAATCCCTTTACCCCAAGGCACCTAGTAGGGCTCGTACCGCTTCAATGATGCATATTGAATAGAGCCCTATGTACCTTGGGGAAAAGGCAGTGCTTGAGTTGGAGTGAAATAGGTTCCGGTTCTAATTTTGGGTGCCGGTACTGTTTATATTTAGGTGCAAAAGCTAAATGCTTTTGAGCTAATATTCTGTAAGAGGAACAAGAGCTGAAGCAGTACAACATTTGAGGTGTCGGTACTCAGCTCCAGTGAGCTCCTGCCCAAGTCAAGCACTGAGTAAAGGGATTGTTAATGCATTTCATACAATCCATATCAAAACAACCCTGTAATTTCCAATTGAGCTGACATATCTAGTGTTTACCATGAATGCAGTCTCCGCTAACACGGAAACATTGCCTTCTTGGGCTTGAGTCTATCAGATCTGCGCTAGCCGACACTAGCATAGCAGTTGTTTTGAAGTGCCGGAGATGGAAGTGTAGTAGCCTGGAAGTGTAGTAGCCTACCTAAAGCCAACATTGCCCTTGGCTGCACCGAGTCGCATTAAGAGAAATCCCAAGCGGCCTTGTTTACAAATTCAAACACTGGAAAGTGAGATGTAATCTACACCTTGATTATTATTTATAAACTGGGTGGTTTGAGCCCTGAATGCTGATTGGCTGAAAGCCGTGGTATATCAGACTGTATACAATGGGTATGACAAAACATTTATTTTTACTGTTGTAATTACGTTGGTAACAAGTTATATAGCAATAAGGCACTTCGGGGGTTTGTGGTATATGGCCAATATACCATGGCTAATGGCTGTATCCAGGCACTCTACGTTGCGTTGTGCATAAGAACAGCCCTTAGCCTTGGTATATTGGCCATATACCACACCTCCTTAGGCCTTATTGCTTAAATAGCCTTCTCTTTCTCCTTCTGAACTTCTAACGTGAGTGAAGCTGGTGTTGTTTCGTGACAATGATTGCAAGAGCTACTCACCGATTTGACAGCTCCAATGCAGTTCCACCTCTGACACCACCAAAACATCCACTATTGTAATGAATACTCGGACAGAGTGGTAAGATCCAATCGCAGAATTGCGATGCTTTATTAGAGTACAGACAAGGGAATAGCTTAATCGTGGTCGGGCGGGCTGTGGTCAAAACCGGGCCAGACATAGACAGGCAGAGGTACCAAGGGAGCGGGCGTAGTCGTAGTCGAGGGCACAGGCACAGGGTCAGAGTACGGTAATAACTGAGATAGACAAGCAGAGGGTTAAGCAATACGGGCAGTCAAACAACAAGGCACTGGTCGGATACACGGGTAATCTAAAACAACAATCTCTCTCTCTCGGAACAAAACGCTTAGCAAGTCACAATGGAACAATACCTCGCACCGACTGAACTTCTGAGCACACCTTAAATCCTACACTAATTACTGACAGGTGTGCTCAGAACTCAGGTGAACCAGATCGAGTCTGATGACTCCCCCTCTCCGTAGATCGGGGAAGTGTCAGACTCTGACTAGACCCAGCCGACCCCCGATCCCTTACAACTATGCAGTGTCTATCAGCTATGCAGTGCTATCGCCGGTTAACGCTTGATCTGATTGAATCGAGGCCTAAGCCTAGGCCAAAAAAATGTAATCACGTTGTAATGCTGAACTTGCGTGATATGGATTGAATAGAGCACCAATGTTTTTGCCCTTGTGTCAGTCTATATTAGCAGAACATAAATGTCCTGTAAAGGAATTAGTGAGTGATTTAGGATGTCTGCATTAGACTGAAATATATATGCTATAATGAATAGGAATATATAAGAAGATATAGGCTATATCAATACATATCCATACATTGTCGCGCAAATACACACACACGTGCACACACACACACAAACTTAAGTGCCCTCACACACATATGCTACACACGTGTCCCAGGTCTCTACTGCCTGCTCTGCTGGGAAGAAGAGTTCACCATGTACCAGGTATCCACCACCACTGTAGCTTCCAATAGAGCATGATTTATTATCATGGCCAGACAGATACAGCTTGGGCTGAATTTCCTCAAACTCAAAAATGTCTATACCATGATGATAAAGGGGTTTTCAGGAAAAACATTTATCCGCCTCTTTCAAACATCAAACATGAATGCTATACTACACCCAGAATTTCTCAGAATCTGCATTGTAATTTAGCTTTCAGTGTGTGTGTCTCTCTCTCTCTCTCTCTCTCTCTCTCTGTGTGGTGTGTGTGTGTGTGTGTGTGTGTGTGTGTGTGTGTGTGTGTGTGTCTGTGGTGTGTTTGCATTTGTATTTTGATTCATGCATTCCGTGTATGATTTGCCCAGCACTAATCTGTGGGTGGGAGTAGGATTGTACACAACACCTGTAGCAACAGTTTCCACAAGCTGCAGGTGTGAGTGCAAGTGGCACCGGCAGGAGGCTTGGGACTCCAAAGTTGATTGGTTAAGCTTGAATGGTATTCCTGCTCCCAGAAGTTGATAGATGAAGCCAACAATAAGCTTGAAGAGGATAGGCTGGTAACAGAAGAAGGCTGTCACTCCCTCTAGCCATCTATCAGCTGTCTCTCTCTGTGGGCTAAAGCCAGGTAGGAAACTAGAGAGACAGGCTGGGCGTATACTGCTGCACAGTGAAGTACAGAGTTGCTAAGTGTGTGTGTGAGAGAGTCGGTTTACACCGACACAGTCAGTGGAGGTACAGAAAAGTGGAGTGGAGAGGAGCTGAGTGGGAGTGTGAGACATTTAACCACTCCAGACGATGAACATGAAGCACCGGAGGTTCTCCCTCGACAGTTTAGTGTGAGTATCAACCAATCAAACTTTTTTTAAATAATTGATTTATTATTATGATTTGCTATACATATGGTGTTTTTGACCAGTTATAGACAGGCTCAGTTAAACTCCAGCTGTAGAGACCCTCTCCTGTGTTTATGTTTACATTAGGATGTAGGAATGTCCCTTAACTGAATCTTATTGGATTTTCTAATAGGATATTACAGTATTGAATATTGTTCATTCCTCAAACATACAGTAGTACATACCACATAGATTAGAACCCACCCATAGGGGGTTTGGGCCATTCCACCTTCCTTATTGCAGTTTCACAAATTGGTTAGTCTGATTGGAGGATTCACCTGAGTGGAGAAAGAGAAAGCGAGGGAAGGAAGGGAACTTGTTTGTTGCTGCAATTTGGACTCAGGGGTAGACGTAACATAGTAAATGAAAAGCCGGGACACTCAAATTAGTATGATATGTTACGTTTGGTAGGTAAGGTATACATTTTTGGATGTCCATCATCCATTTCGTATGTTATGGTAGAAATTATAATTTGTATGATATGTTTGTTACGATTTGCAATTCGTACAATATGAAATTAATTTGCAACACGTATGATATGTTACGAATTCCAATTTGTTGTGGCTAACGTTGGCTAGGTGGCTAGGTGGCCAACACTAACGTTAGCTACAGTTCCTTGCAAAAGTATTCATCCCCCTTGGCGTTTTTTCTATTTTGTTGCATTACAACCTGTAATTTAAATAGATTTTTATTTGGATTTAATGTAATGGACATACACAAAATAGACCAAATTGGTGATGTGGAATGAAAAAAAGAACTTGTTTCAAAAAAAGTGGTGTGTGCATAAGTACAGTATACACCCCCTTTGCTATGAAGCCCCTAAACAAGATCTGGTGCAACCAAATACCTTCAGAAGTCACATAATTAGTTAAATAAAGTCCACCTGCGTGCAATCTAAGTGTCACATGATCTGTCACATGATCTGAGTATATATACACCTGTTCTGAAAGGCCCCAGAATCTGCAACACCACTAAGCAAGGGGCACCACCAAGCAAGCGGCACCATGAAGTCCAAGAAGCTCTCCAAACAGGTCAAGGACAAAGTTGTGGAGAAGTACAGATCAGGGTTGGGTTATAAAAAAAATATCAGAAACTTTGAACATCCCAGGGAGCACCATTAAATCCATTATTAAAAAATAGAAAGAATATGGCACCACAACAAACCTGCCAAGAGAGGGCCGCCCACCAAAACTCACGGACCAGGCAAGGAGGGCATTAATCAGAGAGGTAACATAGACACCAAAGATAACCCTGAAGGAGCTGCAAAGCTCCACTGCGGAGATTGGAGTATCTGTCCATAGGATCACTTTAAGCCATACACTCCACAGAGCTGGGCTTTACGGAAGAGTGGCCAGAAAAAAGCCATTGCTTTAAGAAAAGAATAAGCAAACACGTTTGGTGTTCGCCAAAAGGCATGTGGGAGACTCCCCAAACATATGGAAGAAGGTACTCTGGTCAGATGAGACTAAAATTGAGCTTTTTGGCCATCAAGGAAAACGCTATGTCTGGCGCAAACCCAACACCTCTCATCACCCCGAGAACACCATCCCCACGGTGAAGCATGGTGGTGGCAGCATTATGCTGTGGGGATGTTTTTCATCAGCAGGTACTGGGAAACTGGTCAGACTAGAAGGAATGATGGATGGCGATAAATACAGGGAAATTCTTGAGGGAAACCTGTTTCAGTCTTCCAGAGATTTGAGACTGGGATGGAGGTTTACCTTCCAGCAGGACAATGACCCTAAGCAGACTGCTATAGCAACACTTGAGTGGTTTAAGGGGAAACATTTAAATGTCTTGGAATGGCCTAGTCAAAGCCCAGACCTCAATCCAATTGAGAATCTGTGGTATGACTTAAAGATTGTAGTACACCAGCGAAACCCATCCAACTTGAAGGAGCTGTAGCAGTTTTGCCTTGAAGAATGGGCATAAATCCCAGTGGCTACATGTGCCAAGCTTATACAGACATACCCCAAGAGACTGTCTCTACAAATTATTATTATATAAGCTTTCTGTTTTTTTTGTCTTATTTCCTGTTTGTTTCACAATAAAAAATGTTTTGCATCTTCAAAGTGGTAGGCATGTTGTGTAAATGAAATGATACAAACCCCCAAAAAATCCATTTTATTTCCCGGTTGTAAGGCAACAAAATAGGAAAAATGCCAAGAGGGGTGAATTCTTTCGCAAGCCACTGTAGGTGGCTAATGTTAGCTAGACTAGGGGTTAAGGTTAGGGTTAAGTTTAGGGTTAAGGTTAAGGTTAGGGTTAGGGTTAGGATAAGGAGTTAGCTTAAAGGGTTAAGGTTAGGGGAAGGGTTAGCTAACATGCTAAGTAGTTGCAAAGTAGCTAAAAATAGTAAGTAGTTGCAAAGTTGCTTATTAGCTAAAATGCTAACGTTGTCCGTGATGAGATTTAAACAAGCAACCTTTGGGTTGCCAGACATTTTGTGTTATATGCCAACCCATCCACCCTGACTAACCACCCTCCTTTCGTTTTTGTCTTAATAAATCCCTTTCCTGTAGTCAAATGACCTACTGGCCTCATGGGTGGAATGTTATTAATATTTGCAATAAACATGTATTTATTTTTAACGCAGAAAATCGGGTGTGTCTATGTCAAACGGTTTTGTCATATTTCAGTCTTCTCTGATGTATATAAAGTGTAATATTTTCCCCAAAATGCATTGCAGCCATACCCTTTAGGACCTTTGTTTTTATTTTTTAAGATCAGCTTAAAATGAATAACTTTCAATTTATTTTGTCATTTATGAGATACAAACAGGTTGTTTTGCATTACATCTTATTGCTTTTTTTGTTTGTTTTAGTTTTAATATAATCTTTATTTTGTATATACCGTAAGTATATATTTTAAATAAAAAATAATCAAATTCATGACTTGACAATATATTTTTGAAATACAAATTGCATAATAAAAGGCACACATTTCAAACAAATACTTACATTTGTTGGTCCTTGTCTAGACTCAGAAATTACAGGCTGGTCTAGACGGGAGGAGGTGAATCCGCTTTCTGTACTGGATATGTACAGTTGAAGTCGGAAGTTTACATTCACTTAGGTTGGAGTCATTAAAACTTGTTTTTCAACCACTCCACACATTTCTTGTTAACAAACTATAGTTTTGGCAAGTCGGTTAGGACATCTACTTTGTGCATGACACAAGTATTTTTCCAACAATTGTTTACAGACAGATTATTTCACTTATAATTCACTGTATCACAATTCCAGTGGGTCAGAAGTTTACATACACTTAGGTTGGAGTCATTAAAACTTGTTTTTCAACCACTCCACACATTTCTTGTTAACAAACTATAGTTTTGGCAAGTCGGTTAGGACATCTACTTTGTGCATGACACAAGTATTTTTCCAACAATTGTTTACAGACAGATTATTTCACTTATAATTCACTGTATCACAATTCCAGTGGGTCAGAAGTTTACATACACTAAGTTGACTGTGCCTTTAAACAGCTTGGAAAATTCCAGAAAATGATGTCATGTCTTTAGAAGCTTCTGATAGGCTAATTGACATCATTTGAGTCAATTGGAGGTGTACCTGTGGATGTATTTCAAGGCCTACCTTCAAACTCAGTGCCTCTTTGCTTGACATCATGGGAAAATCAAAAGAAATCAGCCAAGACCTCAGAAAAAAATGTGTAGACCTTCACGTCTGGTTCATCCTTGGGAGCAATTTTCAAATGCCTGAAGGTGCCACGTTCATCTGTACAAACAATAGTACGCAAGTATAATCACCATGGGACCACGCAGCCATCATACGCTCAGGAAGGAGACACGTTCTGTCTCCTAGAGATAAACGTACTTTGGTGCGAAAAGTGCAAATCAATCCAAGAACAACAGCAAAGGACCTTGTGAAGATGCTGGAGGAAACAGGTACAAAAGTATCTATATCCACGGTAAAACGAGTCCTATATCGACATAACCTGAAAGGCCGCTCAGCAAGGAAGAAGCCACTGCTCCAAAACGGCCATAAAAAAGCCAGACTACAGTTTGCAACTGCACATGGGGACAAAGATTTGTACTTTTTGGAGAAATGTCCTCTGGTCTGATGAAACAAAAATAGAACTGTTTGGCCATAATGACCATCGTTATGTTTGGAGGAAAAAGGGGGTAGCTTGCAAGCCGAAGAACACCATCCAACCGTGAAGCACGGGGGTGGCAGCATCATGCTGTGGGGGTGCTTTGCTGCAGGAGGGACTGGTGCACTTCACAAAATAGATGGCATCATGAGGAAGGTAAATTATGTGGATATATTGAAGCAACATCTCAAGACATCAGTCAGGAAGTTAAAGCTTGGTCGCAAATGGGTCTTCCAAATGGACAATGACCCCAAGCATACTTCCAGAGTTGTGGCAAAATGGCTTAAGGACAACAAAGTCAAGGTATTGGAGTGGCCATCACAAAGCCCTGACCTCAATTCTATAGAACATTTGTGGGCAGAACTGAAAAAGTGTGTGTGTGCAAGGAGGCCTACAAACCTGACTCAGTTACACAAGCTCTGTGAGGAGGAATGGGCCAAAATTCACCCAACTTTTGTGGGAAGCTTGTAGAAGGCTACCTGAAACGTTTGACCCAAGTTAAACAATTTAAAGGCAATGCTACCAAATACTAATTGAATGTATGTAAACTTCTGACCCACTGGGAATGTGATGAAAGAAATAAAAGCTGAAATAAATAATTCTCTCTACAATTATTCTGACGTGTCACATTCTTAAAATGAAGTGGTGATCCTAACTGACCTAAAACAGGGAATTCTTACTAGGATTAAATGTCAGGAATTGTGAAAAACTGAGTTTAAATGTATTTGGCTAAGGTGTATGTAAACATCCAACTTCAACTGTATATACTCAAGCCCTTCTTGAATAAATATTGTTTTGAGGACTCTTTAATTCTGTAATGTTGTAGTGCATTTTATTTGCGCATTAAACATTGAAGTTTGACTTTTTGAGTTGTAAATGTAATAGCTTTTGTTACTATTAGGCCTATATTGTCCGGAAGGAGTGGAACAATAATTAAGGTATTACGCTGGAACAGGATTAACAAAGATGCATGTATATTCAATTTCCATTGCTTGCTTTCTCCCAGCCTCTGTTTGCTTTCTCCCAGCCTCAGGTGGGGGAACTTAAACATCGTATAACACACACTTTGCATGTGGCATGTTCTGATCATTTAAAATGCAAATGGATGCTTTGACCTGGATGCCACATATGTTTTATACAGCTAATTTAACCCTTAAAGTGTTATTGACTATCTTGTCGACTACTAGCTAGAACTGCTCTGGCAACCATTCAACTCTTCTTTATGGTTGTCTGATGGTATCATGTTAGCCGTCGATGATGCAGGTAGCCTATTGGTTAAGAGTGTTGGGTCAGTAAACCTGGGATAGGATAAAGTAATCATTCTACCCCTCCCTTACCCCAACCCACCCCCCCCAAAAAAAAAAAAGATATATATATATATATATAAATATATATATTTTTTTTTTTAAATGTAAGTGAAAAAAAACACATTGTAAAGTGGTTATCCCACTGGCTATAAGGTGAATGCACCAATTTGTAAGTCGCTCTGGATAAGAGCGTCTGCTAAATGACGTAAATGTAAATGTAAATGTAAATGTTGCTGGTTCGAATGCCCGAGTCAACTAGGTGAACAATCTGTCAATGTGCCCTTGAGCGAGGCACTTATCCCTAATTGCTCCTGTATTAATGAATTGTTAGAGCAGCACAAAACCTACCCAGGTAGGTGAATCAGTTGTCTGAAATTTAAATTAAATCCACAACTTTATAGTTCTCGAAACCACCATAATGTTAATTACAAAGTAAGACCTATACTGTAGGTGAATATACAAATAGGTAAACATGACCTCTAAACAGAAAGTGTTTACAGACCCAGGTGACAACACTCTGTGACCGTTTAGTGTCCTGTTCCTCCAGGTCCCTGGAGAATGGTGGTGGAGGTAGTCTGCTGGACCAGAGGAGAGGCAGCCGCAGTAGGCCTAAGAAGAGTGGAGAGAGGAGGAAAAGCCACAGTCTAGAGGAGGCACAGCTGGAAACACAAGAGCTGGGATGCAGCCTGAACAGGAGTAACTCACTCAGGTCAGAGGTTACTTATGAAAGCAAGTGCAATGACTAGAACAGGATTTGGACTGGGGGAAACAAAACCCTCTATATCAGGGGTGTCAAACTCATTTTAGCTCAGGGGCCACATGGAGGAAAATCTATTCCCAAGTGGGCCGGACCGGAAAAATCATGGTATATATAACTTAAAAACAACAACTTCAGATTGTTTTCTTTGTTTTAATACGATCAACATACAACATAAAGCTGGAGCCTGAGGACAGTGTGTCCAAAATAGTACAAGCACAACATCACTATTAATCATAAAACACGTCAAGTTTATTTGAAAATTCTAAAGAAAAAGAACACACAAACACACAATGCCTCAGTGATTAACAGAACTGTTTCACAGATCACAGAACTATATCAGGGTGTCATTTCTCAGGCAGAAATGTAGATAAAAATAATGAAATCCTGTTCCCCAAACAAGTGCAAGAACCACAGAGTCAAGAATAGGTTAAATATACAAATAAAATAAAATCAATTAAATACAATAGCACATCAACATAAAAACATATAACCATAAAGCTGGAGCCTGAGGACAGTGTCCAAAAGCACAACATCACTATTAATCATAAAACACCTCAAGTTATTTGAAAGTTCTGAGGACAAAGAACACACAAACACACAATGCCTCAGTGATTCACAGAAGTATATCACAGATCACAGAACTATATCAGGGTGTCATTTCTCAGGCAGAAATGTAGATAAAAATAATGAAATCCTGTTCCCCAAACAAGTGCAAGAACCACAGAGTCAAGAATAGGTTAAATATACAAATAAAATAAAATCAATTAAAAACAATAGCACATCAACATAAAAACATATAAACATAAATCTGAAAGCGTTGCTCAAACTCCCGTAACAGTCCAGTTATTTTATCTTTGAACCGCTTCATGTCTGCCACATGTTGGGTCGCGCACACATTTTTCAGACAGGGGAAGTGAGCTGCATCACCACCGGCAAGTTGCGTCTCCCACAATGACAGCTTCAACTTGAAAGAACGTATGCTGTCATAATACTGCGTGACAACTTTGTTGCGCCCTTGCAGCTGTTTGTTCAAGTTATTCAGGTGCTCTGTAACATCCACCATAAATGCAAGGTCCGGCATCCATTCTGCGGAATGAAATTGTAACACTGGTTTGCCCTTTTCTTCCATGAACTGTTCAATTTCTTCTCGTAAATCAAAGAAACGCCTCAGCACAGCACCTCGGCTTAACCATCTTACCTCAGTGTGGTATGGCAGGCCATAGATGTGGTCTTTCTCTCTGAGAAGGCTGTCAAACTGACGGTGATTCAGGCTTCTGGTCGGATGAAATTAACAGTTTGGATGACCACCTTCATGACGTTATCCATCTTTAATGACTTGCAACACAAAGCCTCCTGGTGCAAAATACAGTGAAAAGTCAAAAAATCACGTCCTCCATTTGCAGATTGCACTTTCTCTCTGAACTTTGTCACAACGCCTGCTTTTTTTCCCGATCATTGAGGGTGCACCATCTGTAGCCAGGCTGACAGCGCGGGACCAGTCCACTCCGACCCTGTCCAGCGCGCCGACGAGTGCGGTAAAAATATCAGCTGCTGTCGTTGTATCTGTCATCGGCACCAACTCCACGAACTCCTCGGTGACGGTCAATGTGTCATCAACTCCGCGGATGAAAAAATGGCCAGTTGTGCAACATCTGTAATGTCCGTGCTTTCATCAATTGCAACTGAAAACGCAATAAATGACTTTACTTTTTGCTTCAACTGGCTGTCCAAATCCACTGAAAGATCGGAAATCCTGTCTGCAACTGTGTTTCTTGTCAGGCTGATATTTGCAAAAGCCTGCCGCTTTTCAGGGCACACAATCTCCGCTGCCTTCATCATGCATGTTTTTACAAATTCACCCTCACTAAATGTTTTTGAAGCCACTGCGATTTCATTAGCAATGAGGTAGCTAGCTTTCACTGCAGCATCACTGATGTCTCGGCTGTGAGTAAACACAGACTGCTGTTTCTTCAGACCCGCCAACAGTTCATTCACCTTCTCTCATCTCCGCTGTCCTTGAAAGTTGTCATATTTGTCGGCATGAAGACTCACATAGTGGCGACGAAGGTTATATTCTTTCAGCACTGCAACATGCTCTGAACACACCAAACATACAGCTTTCCCATTCAATTCCGTGATTAAATAGGATGACCATTTTTCTTGGAACACTCTGCACTCTGCGTCCACTTTTCTCTTTTTTGACAGAGACATATTGGGGCAATGAGGGTGCCAAAGCACATAATGTTAAAAGTAGAAGCCGTAATAAATATCGCGGGCAAAACAAAGTAGCTCATTGGCTGCACGTGCTTGACCTACTTGCTCTGCCCCGGTATAAACAGTTTGCTTGCTTAACACAATTGCTATTGCGCCATCCAGTGGACGCAATTGGAACAGCAGTTTATTTTATTGAAAAATTGCAGCGCATTTTTATATTCAAAAAAAAATATATATATATATATATATATATATATATATATATATTTTTTTTTTTTTCAAAATCATCTCGCGGGCCGGATTAAACCCGTTTGTGGGCCTGATCCGGCCCGCGGGCCGTACGTTTGACACCCCTGCTCTAAATCCATATGTGCGTGTGTAATTGTGATCTCCCTGTCCACAGGTCACAGACCATAGAGGAGGAGAGCGTCCATCGGCCTGATGGCGTCATCATCACCAAAAATGTAAGCACATTTGAAATGTACAGTACAACACCCTGGAGGTACTATTGCTTCTCCACTACATGTTTGGGTTCTTGGATCTGGCTCGGAAATACGTCCTGATTAAATGATTTATTAATTCCTTAATTGGTTGATTGATTGATTAATTAGATAATTTCCTCTCTCTCTTGTAGAGCTTTGTGAAATACAACAAAACCTTTCACAAACTCTTCCAAGACATTCATGCAGAGGAGAAACTAACTCATGGTGAGTTGATATCAGTACATTATCAGTACATATTTATGATTTTGTCGTCGTCCATTGACTGTCTGTCTGTGCTGCATGTGGATTCATGTCTAGCATGTTTACTTATGGAGTCGACACAATAATTCATGCTTTGGGACATTCATTATAATTCATTCCACAACCTGATGGCATCATGAGGATGGCATTGTGCATTGTGCTCCTTGCTAACAACTAATTACATTAAAACACTTATGCACTCACTTTGCACAATATTTTAACATGTGCCCTCAGCTGCTTAGGACGGCATACAGAACATCACGCTGTATTCTGGGGATAAGTGTCTCTCTCATTTGGCACTGTTCTCTGGTTGTGTGTTTTCAGCATTCACCTGTGCCCTGCAGAAGGACGTGTTGTATCACGGGAAGCTATTTGTGTCTGTCAACTATGTGTGTTTCTACTCCTCCGTACTCCTCAAACACACCAAGGTAAGAGATTCAAATATAATAGAGTAGAGTAGATAACACCAAGTTCGCCAACATACAGTGCTCTCCATAATTATTGGGACAGTGAATCATTTGTTCTTCTTTTGACTCTATACTCTATACTCCAAAGGTTTGAAATCAAATAATGACTATGAGGTTAAAGTGCAGACTGTCAACTTTAATTTGAGGGTATTTTCATCCATATTGGGTTAACCGTTTAGAAATTACAGCACTCTATGTACATAGTCCCCCCATTTTAAGGGAACAAAATAATTTGGAGAAATTCACTTATGTGTATTAAAGTAGTAAAAAGTTAAGTATTTGGTCCCATATTCATAGCACGCAATGACTACATCAAGCTTCTGACTCTACAAATTTGTTGATGAGTGAGTAAGTTACAGACACAGAAATATCATACCCCCCCAAAAAAACGTCCCTTGTTATTGTGATGGTGAGAGGTTAGCATCTCTTAGGGGTAAGTTATTTGTGCATCTGTAACTTTCTCACTCATCATTATTCACAATTAATTCAGGATTATTCGTAATCACTGTAGCATCCACATTTATGTTGAAGTGTTTAGAAACATATTCTATTCTTATTTAAGATAAAAGTGACTCCAAAATTACACAAGACATTATTTACCATTCATTTATATTGGGCACTGTTGCAGGAGGGGGTCGCAGTTCCGGAGCGACCCTCTAGGTGTCATTCTCCGACAACCTTAGGCACCTCCTCACTCACAGTCGGGACAAATCATCTTCCTATTGGTGTCACCTGTGTCTATCTGATTCACCTGTGTATTTATGCCCTCACTTCCATGTGTTCCCTTGCTCAGTTTTCTCTGCTAGTTTCACTATACCAAGCAGTACTAATCAGAGTCTGATCGCGGGACGTATGGACAGGTACATGAGAAGTGTTCTCCCTGTTTATTTATTATTTCAGTCATAGTTAGTATTTTGTATTATTTGCTTCACCTTTCTTTTTCGTGTAAAGTCCGTTATTTTGTATCCTGGCTTCGGGACCATCAGTAAAGTTCCTTGTTTTACCATCTCTGCCTACTGCCTACTGTCTAACCTGCACCGCACCTGGATCACACCTCACACCAACCCTTACAGAAAACTGAGCCACTATGGACCCAGCGGAGGCAGCACAGTATCATAGCGCATTGGCAATGCAGGGAGCCATGCTGAACCAGTACGACCGCAGCCTGCAGCAGATCACCGAGAATCTCCGCCAGCTGATGATCGCCGTGCAGAGCCGGGTGGACACCCGACCAGTGCCGGCAGCCGGCGGAGCGGAAGCCGCGGCAACGGCATCTCCAGTCTCGACTGTGACATCACGGGAACCCCGCCTACCACCTCCGGAGAGGTACGACGGACGACCAGAGGGCTGCAGGGAATTCCTCACCCAGTGTTCCCTGATATTCAGCCTACAACCCTCCTCCTTCCCAACGGAGCAGGGCCGGGTGGCCTACATTATCACTCTGTTGACGGGTCGGGCCCTTTCCTGGGCTAACTCGGAGTGGGAGAGCCAAACTCCAGCGTGCTCTGATTCCTACCTATTCACCCGGGAGCTATGCAAGGTGTTTGACACCTCTCAGATGGTGTGGGGCCACGAGGCCGGGAGGCGACTCTTGGCCTATCAGCAGGGTGACCATTCGGTGGCGGACTACTCCGTGGCGTTCCGGACCCGGGCTCGAGAGGCAGGATAGGAGGAGGCCGCCCTGGTTGTCCTTTACGCTCAGGGGCTATCGGAGGGGGTAAAGGACACACTCTCTTTCAGGGAGCTGCCTGAGCGACAGGACAGCCTCGTCGACCTCTCGGTGCGGGTAGACAATTGGCCTCATGAGAGGGTGCACAAGAGAGGCATGATGAAAGGCGCGCCTCCGCGTCCCCATTTCAGCCCGGAGGCTTTCCGCCAATTCAGGGAGGAGACGCCTCAGGAAGAGGCTATGCAGCTGGGTGCGGCACACTTGGCCAGGATGAAGAGGCAGAGGCGTCTGCGCCAGGGACGTTGCCTGTACTGCAGCCAGACAGGTCACCACTGCAAATCATGCCCGGAGAAGCCGGGAAACGGGAGGGCTCGCTAGTATCTGGAGGGGTGTTAGAGAGCCGGAACCGAAACCCAAACTCCAGAGACTCCCGGACTTTTCTCCCCGTCAGGGTTCAGTGGGCCCGCGCTGCGTGTCGGGCGCATGCACTGGTGGATTCTGGGGCCGCGGGAAACCTGATGGACGCAGGGCTTGCCCAAGAGTGGAGCGTTCCGTTACTCTCCCTCTCCGAGCCCGTTCCGGTCATGGGCCTGGACGGCCGGCCGTTGCGGTCTGGCTTCATCACCCGGCGCACTGTTCCCGTGCATGTCCGGGTGGCGGAGGGGCTATGGGAGGATATCCAGTTTTTCATTGTGGACTCTCCGGAGTGTCCCCTCATCCTCGGGCATCCCTGGCTGGTCGCCCACAAACCCCGGATAGACTGGTCCATGGGGCGGCTCATCCTGGAGGGAGGCGCCACCCCCGTCCTGTTCCGGTCTCCACCGACCACTCATCAGCCCAAACAACCGTCCCAGACCACCTACCAGTCCTCACCTCTTCCCCAGGTCCCGCACTCCGAACCGCCTTCCGCCCTAGCGGCGGTTGCCACCGGGAGGACGGCGGCTACAGAATCTGTCACCAGCCCAGACCTGCCAGGCGTTCTTTGGGAGTATTGGGATCTGGGGGAGGTGTTTAGTAAGAGGCGTGCTAAGGGCTTAACTCCTCATAGGCCATACGACTGTGGACCCAGGGGCTGATAACAACATTCCGTCACCTCCACCCGGAAGCGTCCAAGGTGAACGGCTAGGGCCGTTCGTTGGGGGGGGGGGGGGGGGGGGGGGGGGGGGTGCACTGAGCGAACCTCTATGTGTCATCCTCCGACAACCTTAGGCACCTCCTCACTCACAGTCGGGACAAATCATCTTCCTATTGGTGTCACCTGTGTCTATCTGATTCAACTGTGTATTTATGCCCTCACTTCCCTGTGTTCCCTTGCTCAGTTTTCTCTGCTAGTTTCACTGTGCCAAGCAGTGCTAATCAGTGTCTGATCGTGGGACATATGGACAGGTACGTGGGAAGTGTTCTCCCTGTTTATTGATTATTTCAGTCATAGTTAGTATTTAGTATTTTTGGCTGTCTGCCTGTTTTTTGGAGTCTTATTTGCTCCGCCTTTCTTTTTTGTGTAAATTCTGTTATTTTTTATCCTGGCTTCGGGACCATCAGTAAAGTTCCTTGTTTCACCATCTCTGCCTACTGCCTACTGTCTAACCTGCACCGCACCTGGGTGTCAAGGGTTCTGACGCGACGGTGTGGTGGAATCAAGTGCAGGACACAGGAGCTCAGTCAAACTTGACTTTACTGGCAAAGCACAAAAATACACGGGTAAACTAACCCTGAGATACACAATACACAACAGTGCGTAAAATACAAAACCCGACTACGCACGAAAACACTGTGCGACGGTAAATAGCGTCTGTCCCAAAACGTCAAACATCAATCAGACAGGAAAACAATCACACACAACGCCTGACAAACACAACTAGAACTTATAGGACACTAATGACACTAAACGATAACAGGTGTACAATACCAGACCAGAACAAACGAACATAGAAACATACAACGGTGGCAGCTAGAATTCCGGAGACGACGAACGCCGAAGCCTGCCCGAGCAAGGAAGAGAGGCAGCCTCGGCCGAAACCGTGACAGTACCCCTCCCTTGACGCGCGGCTCCAGACGTGCGCCGACTCCGGCCTCGGGGACGACCAGGAGGACACGGCGCAGGATGCGTCGGGTGACCACGATGGAATTCCGTCAGAAGAGACGGGTCCAAAATGTCTCTCCTCGGCACCCAGCACCGTTCCTCCGGGCCGTACCCCTCCCACTCCACTAGATATTGGAGACCCCCCATCCGACGTCTCGAATCCAAGATGGACCTCACGGAGTACGCCGGTGCCCCCTCGATGTCCAATGGGGGCGGAGGAGTCAGCCTGATCTCATTTTCGTGGAGTGGGCCAGCTACCACCGGCCTGAGAAGAGACACATGGAACGAGGGGTTAATACTTTTATATTCAACAGGTAGTTGTAATCTGTAACACACCTCGTTCAACCTTCTCAGGACTTTAAATGGCCCTACAAACCGCCGATCCAGTTTCCGACAGGGCAGGCGGAGGGGCAGGTTTCTGGTAGAGAGCCAGACTCGATCACCAGGTGCTTACACCGGTCCGTCACTGCGGTGGAGATCGGCGCTCGCCTTTTGACGCTGGAGGGCCCGCTGCAGGTGGACGTGTGCAGCGTTCCATGTCTCCTCCGAGCGCCGCACCCACTCATCCACCGCAGGAGCCTCGATCTGGCTCTGCTGCCAAGGTGCCAGAACCGGCTGGTAACCTAACACACATTGGAAAGGGGTTAGGTTAGTGGAGGAATGGCATAGGGAATTCTGGGCCATTTCGGCCCAGGGAACGTACCTTGCCCACTCCTCCGGCCGGTCCTGGCAGTATGTTCTGAGAAACCTACCCACATCCTGGTTCACACGTTCCACCTGCCCATTACTCTCCGGGTGGTAACCCGAGGTGAGGCTCACCGAGACCCCCAACCGCTCCATAAAAGCTCTCCAGACTCTGGAGGTAAATTGGGGACCTCGATCAGACACAATATCCTCGGGTACCCCGTAGTGCCGGAACACATGGGTGAATAGCGCTTCGGCGGTCTGCAGGGCAGTAGGAAGGCCCGGCATGGGGAGCAAACGACAGGCCTTAGAAAACCGGTCCACAACGACCAGTATAGTGGTATTCCCCTGTGAAGGAGGAAGGTCCGTGATGAAATCCACCGAGAGGTGAGACCATGGTCGTTGTGGAACGGGCAGGGGTAGTAACTTACCCCTAGGCAGATGTCTAGGCGCCTTACACTGGGCGCACACCGAGCAGGAGGAAACATAAACCCTCACATCCCTCGCCAACGTGGGCCACCAGTACTTAGTACTAAGGCAGTGCACTGTCCGGCCGATACCAGGGTGTCCAGAGGAGGGTGACGTGTGAGCCCAATAGATCAATCGATCCCGAACTGCGAGCGGAACGTACCTCCGACCCGCCGGGCATTGAGGTGGACTAGGGTCGGTGCGTAATGCCCGCTCGAGTTCAGCATCGACCTCCCACACTACCGGTGCCACCAGACAAGACTCCGGCAGTATGGGAGTGGGCTCCACGGACCTCTCCTCCGTGTCATACCGCCGAGACAGTGCGTCTGCCTTACTGTTCTGTGACCCAGGGATGTACGTGATTTTAAATGTGAACCGGGTCAAAAACATATTCCACCGCGCCTGGCGAGGGTTCAGTCTCCTCGCTGCCCGGATGTACTCCAGGTTACGGTGGTCCGTCAAAATGAGGAAAGGGTGTTGAGCCCCCTCAAGCCAGTGCCTCCACACCTTTAGGGCCTGTACCACGGCTAACAGCTCCCTGTCCCCCACGTCATAATTTCGCTCCGCCGGACTAAGCTTCTTGGAATAAAAAGCACAGGGGCGGAGTTTAGGTGGCGTGCCGGACCGTTGCGAAAGCATGGCTCCTATACCGGCCTCTGACGCGTCCACCTCTACCTGAAATGGTAAAGAGGGATCCGGATGCGCCAGCACCGGAGCCGAGGTAAACAGGTCCTTCAGCCTCCCAAACGCCCTGTCCGCCTCGGCTGACCACTGCAGACGCACCGGACCCCCCTTCAAAAGAGACGTTATGGGAGCTGCCACCTGTCCAAAACCCCGGATAAACCTCCGGTAGTAATTCGCAAACCCCAAAAACTGCTGCACCTCCTTCACAGTGGTTGGCGTTTGCCAATTACGCACGGCTGACACCCGGTCTACCTCCATCTTCACCCCTGAGGCAGACAACTGATAACCCAAAAAGGAGACCGACTCCTGGAAAAACAGACACTTCTCTGCCTTGACATACAGGTCGTGCTCCAACAGCCTCCGCAACACTCGGCGCACCAGGGCCACATGCTCGACTCGGGTAGACGAGTACACGAGAATGTCATCTATGTACACGACCACCCCCTGCCCCTGCATGTCCCTGAAGATCTCATCCACGAATGATTGGAAAACTGAAGGAGCGTTCATCAACCCGTATGGCATGACCAGATACTCGTAATGACCCGAGGTGGTACTAAAGGCTGTCTTCCATTCATCGCCCCCCCTAATGCGCACCAAGTTGTACGCGCTCCTGAGATCTAATTTAGTGAAGAAACGCGCCCCGTGCAATGACTCCGTCATGGTCGCAATCAGCGGGAGTGGATAACTGTACTTCACCGTGATCTGATTGAGACCACGGTAATCAATGCACGGGCGTAACCCACCATCCTTTTTCTTCACAAAAAAGAAACTCGAGGACGCAGGGGAAGTGGAGGGCCGTATGTATCCTTGTCTCAGAGATTCGTCTATGTAAGTCTCCATAGCTCTCTTCTCCTCCTGAGACAGAGGATACACATGGCTCCGTGGGAGCGCAGCTCCTGCCTGGAGGTCTATCGCACAATCTCCCTGCCTATGGGGAGGCAACTGCGTCGCCCTCGACTTACTGAACACAATAGCCAAATCCCCATACTCAGGGGGAACGTGCAATGCGGGCACCTGGTTTGGACTCTCCACCGAGGTAGCCCCTACGGAAACGCCTAAACATCGACCCACACACTGGGCAGACCACTCCATCAGAGCCCTCTCCTGCCACGAAATAGACGGGTTATGGGTACTCAACCAGGGCATGCCCAGCACCACCGGATACGCAGGCGAGTCGATCAGAAATAGCTGGATCATCTCCTGATGACCCCCCTGCGCACACATCCTAAGTGGCGCCGTGACCTCCCTGATCAAGCCCGCACCCAACGGACGGCTATCTAGGGCATGAACGGGGAAGGGGACGTCAACAGGGAGAAGGGGAATCCCTAAGGCTAAACAAAACTTCTTATCAACAAAATTCCCAGCCGCGCCTGAATCTACCAGCGCCTTATGCTGGGAATGAGGTGCTACCTGTGGAAAACGCACAGGTATACAGAAGTGTGCAACAGAGAGCTCTGGGTGAGTGGGGCGCCTACTCACCTGGAAGGACTCCCCAGTGCGGGGCCTGTCGTCTTCCCCCCTAGGAGGCCATCCCCAGCACCTGGCCGCGGTGTGTCCTCCCCGACCACAGTTGGTGCAGGAGATGGACCCCCTCGTACTCCGACCCCTCCTCTCTCTAGCGCCAGCGCCCCCGAGCTCCATGGGGCACGGCTCGGAGGCGCTGGAGGATGAAATGGACGGACCCCCTCGGGACGTCCGCGGGTAGCTAGCAGGGTATCCAGCCTGATGGACATGTCGACTAACTGGTCGAACGAGAGGCCAGCTCCCTACGGACGTCCTCACGTAGACTACAGCGGTAGTGATCGATGAGGGCCCGCTCATTCCATCCTGCATCCGCCGCTAGAGTACGGAACTCCAAAGCGAACTCCTGGGCACTCCTCTTCCCCTGCCGGAGGCAGAACAGACGCTCCCCCGCCGCTTTCCCCTCCGGGGGATGATCAAACACCGCCTTGAAGCGGCGGGAGAACTCAGCATACGTGATGGTGGTAGCATCTATTCTCCTCCACTCAGCGTTGGCCCATTCTAACGCCTTGCCGGAAAGGCAGGAGATCAGGGCGGACACGCTCTCGAGTCCCGAGGGCGCCGGGTGCACAGTGGCCAGGTAAAGCTCCACCTGGAGAAGGAAGCCCTGACACCCGGCAGCGGTCCCATCGTAGGCTCTCGGGAGCGAGAGTCGAACTCCTCGGGGTTCCGGAGCGGGACTGGGCTGACTGGCCGATGGTGAGGGAAGGGAAGATGGCGTAGGAGGTGTCCCTCGGGTCTCCGAGGGTGGTGATCACCTCCTGCAGTGCGGACCCCATCCGCAGGATCTGGTCATTCTGCTCCCGGACTCTGTCTTCCAACGTCTCCTGTGCTGCTGCGGCTCCTGCTGATTCCATTTGAAAGGTGTGTGATTCTGTCAAGGGTTCTGACGCGACGGTGTGGTGGAATCAAGTGCAGGACACAGGAGCTCAGTCAAACTTGACTTTACTGGCAAAGCACAAAAATACACGGGTAAACTAACCCGGAGATACACAATACGCAACAGTGCGTAAAATACAAAACCCGACTACGCACGAAAACACTGTGCGACGGTAAATAGCGTCTGTCCCAAAACGTCAAACATCAATCAGACAGGAAAACAATCACAAACAACGCCTGACAAACACAACTAGAACTTATAGGACACTAATGACACTAAACGATAACAGGTGTACAATACCAGACCAGAACAAACGAACATAGAAACATACAACGGTGGCAGCTAGAATTCCGGAGACGACGAACGCCGAAGCCTGCCCGAGCAAGGAAGAGAGGCAGCCTCGGCCGAAACCGTGACACTGGGTCACACCTCACACCAACCCTTACAGGGCACAAAATAATCTGAAACACAACTAAAACAAAGAGCAAATGCTTCCAACAAATATGGATGAAAATACACTCAAATTAAAGCTGACAGTCCGCACTTTAATTTCATAGTCATTGTTTGATTTAAAATCCAGACTTTTGGAGTATAGAGCCAAAATAGATAAAATGCTTCACTGTCCCAATAATTATGGAGGGCACTAAGTAGAAGTAGATGCACAGTTGTGGTCTGTGGTATTTGTGAAGTTGATGTTGATGTTGTACCTCTTTCTTGTTGTAGGTGGTGGTTCACGTGTCCAGTGTTAAGGAAGTGAAAAAGCAGAACTCAGCCTTGTCAATGCTCTCCATCCACACTACGGATGGAGACAAGGTCAGAAACCCACAGTGGCCCTGTTAGTCTTTGTTTGAGTGCATGTGTCTTTGCATGTGGGTTGTTGCGTAGTCCCTTATTCTGTTTTGTCTGTGTTTCAGTATTTGTTTGTGTCTTTGCGGAACCGGCAAGTGTGTTACGAAATCCTGCAGTCTGTGTGTACACAAGCACAGGTATACCCTCATAATCTCTGACCTCTCTCTCTTTCGCTCTCTCTTCCTCCCTCTATATAACTCTCTCCCTCTTTCACTCTCCCCTCTTATTCACCCCCTTTCTATCTCCTTATCTATCATCTGCAATTATCCTCTACTCTATTTGTCTTTCTCTGTTCTCTGTATTCACCAAGGAGAATATTCTTTAACACACTGCATTGTGTGTCAGACTGTGTTCACACAGCAGCAGGGGGAGCAGGGGGAGAATGGTAACAGCAGTTCCCACGTCTCCCCAGGAGAGAACGGTGTTGACGACGTGGATCAGGACATAGACACGGTAAGACCCGATCATCAAGTCCCACCATGTACTGCCCAGTTCTGCTTTGACTGCTTATGACAAATGTCTGTCCTTGGTTGACAAACGTACGTCTGTTCCTCATGGTTGATCTGCACTGTGCACTTTGTGACAGTGCACAGTGCAGACCTAGATATTCCCGAGTGGCGCAGTGGTCTAAGGCACTGCATTGCAGTGCTAGCTGTGCCACTAGAGATCCTGGTTCGAATCCAGGCTCTGCTGTAGCCGGCCGCAACCGGGAGACCAATGGGGCGGCGCACAATTGGCCCAGCGTCGTCCAGGGTAGGGGAGGGAATGGCCGGCAGGGAGGTAGCTCAGTTGGTAGAGCATGGCGTTTGCAACGCCAGGGTTGTGGGTTTGATTCCCACGGGGGGCCAGTATGAAAATAAAAAAGAATAATGTATGCACTAACTGTAAGTCGCTCTGGATAAGAGCGTCTGCTAAATGACGTAAATGTGACATTAAAAGAAAGTGCCCTGGAATTTCCCATAACTCCAGAAATCACTTGACATTTTATTTTGTGTGGAATTAAGACACCATTCAGATAAATCATGGGCTTGTCGTGATCAGACACACAAGCATACTTTCCTTTTCTTTTCACCCCTTCCCTGCCCGCAGATCTCCAGCCACTCAAGCCTGGAGGACAGTATGTACCGGAGCCATCCTAAAGAGGCCGTCTACCATGACATGTCCAGCAGAGGTTAGAAAGACTGTCTTAGGATGTTTCTGGACCGACAGGAGAAAGAAAGGAGGGAAAATAGGAATAAAAGAAGACATAAAAGAGAATATTATGTTATGATAGAACAATTATAATAAATACGTGTTAATATTCCTCAGGGAGGGGTAGCTCCACTCCTAGAAGCAGCATTAGCATAGACCAGGACGATCAGTTCACATTCACCGAGGCGGAAGACTCAGGTAGTTAAACACACACTGAAACACACACAGACGCACACACATGTACACACACACCCACACATGTGCAAACACACACACACACTTAAATGTTGTTTGAATAATCCATTTTTTAATTCTCTTGATCAGCTGACTCGTGGGTTTGGAGAGTCCCTGAAAGGATTAAATCCCTCCTCCTCATCAGAGAGATGAGCAACCTCAACGTCCTCCTCTCCATCTATCTGTTTCTGTGAGTACCATCCACCTCTCTGTCTTTCCCTCCACCGTCTCTCTACCTCTCTATCCTCTCAGTGTCTAGACCTAGATGCTGAAGCCCTTCCCTCACCTCTTCTCTTATCCACACACACTGCCACATGTGATGATGGGCGTGTTCATCTAAACACATCTTAAGACTACTGTTAGTTTCAGAAGTATTACGTAACACAAGGGAAAGTTTGAATCTTTGATCATAAGCTGCATTTTTTTATGTATAGGAGTCACAGAACATTCTGTAGTTCACGATCAGAAGCCTGGTTGATATCTGACCATAATTATATCCTCCTGATTCCTGTTTACAAGCAAAAACTAAAGCAAGAAGTACCAGTGATTCGCACAATATGGAAGTGGTCAGATGATGCAGATGCTAAGCTACAGGACTGTATTGCTAGCACAGACTGGAATATGTTCCAGGATTCATCCGATGGCACTGAGGTGTATTTAACATCAGTCACCGGCTTCATCAATAAGTGCATCGATGATGTCGTCCGCACAGCGACCGTACGTACATACCCCAACCAGAAGCCATGGATTACAGGCAACATCCGCACTGAGCTAAAGGGTAGAGCTTCCGCTTTTAAGGAGCGGGACTCTAACCAGGACGCTTATAAGAAATCCCGTTATGCCATCCGATGAACCATCAAACAGGCAAAGCGTCAATACAGGACTGAGATTGAATCCTACTACACTGGCTCTGATGCTCGTCGGATGTGGAAAGAATTGCAAACTATTACGGACTACAAAGGGAAGCCCAGCCACGAGCTGCCCAGTGACACGAGCCTACCAGATGAGCTCAATTACTTCTATGCGTGCTTCGAGGCAAGCAACACTGAAGCATGCATGAGAGCACCAGCTGTTCCGGAAGACTGTGTGATCACGCTCCTCGTAGCCAATGTGAGTAAGACCTTTAAACAGGTCAGACGGATTACCAAGATACGTACTCAGAGCATGCGCTGACCAACTGACAAGTGTCTTCACTGACATTTTCAACCTGTCCCTGACCGAGTCTGTAATACCTATATGTTTCAAGTAGGTCACCATAGTCCCTGTGCCCAAGAACACCAAGGTAACCTGCCTAAATGAATATGGCTCACATCAACACCATCATCCCAGAAACTCTAGACCCACTCCAATTCGTATCCCGCCCCAACAGATCCACAGATGACGCAATCTCTATTGCACTCCACACTACCCTTTCCCACCTGGACAAAAGGAACACCTATGTGATCATTAAGTTTGCCGACGACACAACGGTGGTAGGTCTGATCACCGACAACGATGAGACCGCCTATAGGGAGGAGGTCAGAGACCTGGCAGTGTGGTGCCAGGACAACAACCTCTCCCTCAACGTGGTCAAGACAAAGGAGATGATTGTGGACTACAGGAAAAGGAGGGCCGTGCACGCCCCCATTCTCATCGACGGGGCTGTAGTGGAGCAGGTCGAGAGCTTCAATTTCCTTGGTGTTCACATCACCAACAAACTATCGTGATCCAAACACACCAAGACAGTCGATGAGGGCATGACAATTCCTATTCTCCCTCAGGAGACTGAAAAGATTTGGCATGGGTCCTCAGATCCTCAAAAAGTTATACAACTGCACCATCGAGAGCATCCTGACTGGTTGCAACTGCTCGGCCTCTGACCACAAGGCGCTGCAGAGGATAATGCGTATGGTGCAGTACATCACTGGGGCCAAGCTTCCTGCCATCCAGGACCTCTATACCAGGCGTTGTCAGAGGAAGGCCCTAAAAATTGCCAAAACTCCAGCCACCGTAGTCATAGACTGTTCTCTCTGCTACTGCACGGCAAGCAGTACCGGAGCACCAAGTCTAGGTCCAAAAGGCTCCTTAACAGCTTCTACCCCCAAGCCATAAGACTGCTGAACAGCTAATCAAATGGCTACCTGGACTATTTGCATTGACCTTTGTTCTGATCTTGTCCATTTTCAGACATGTGTCGACACGATATTCAAATGTATCTCTTATGAATCTATCGTGTCTGCATTGTGACCAGATTTCCTGGTTCCTTTGGCTATATAATCACCGTTTCAAGGAAGTGCAGGTGCCTGCCTAACAGTCTGTCTGCTTAGGTATGTTGTCTTTCTGGATTGGTTAGGAGCCATCTGATTGGCTGTTTATGGCAGGTTAATACCTGGAGAGATGGGTAGATTCAGTACCTTCAGAAAGTATTTTCACCCCTTGACTTTTTCCACGTTGTTGTGTTTCAGCCTGAATTTTAAATTGATTAAATTGCAATTGTTTGTCACTGGCCTTCACACAATACCCCATAACGTCAAAGTGGAATTATGTTTTTTCACATTTTGTTCAAATTAATAAAAAATTAAAAGCTGAAATGTCTTGAGTCAATAAGTATTCAACCCCTTTGCTATGGCAAGCCTAAATAAGTTCAGGAGTAAAGATTGTGGCGGTACGTCCAACCGGCCTCACAACCGCAGACCACGTGTATGGCGTCATGTGGGCAAGCGGTTTGCTGATGTCAAGGTTGTGAACAGAGTGCTTGGTGGCGGTGGGGTTATGGTATGGGCAGGCATAAGCTACGGACAACGAACACAATTGGATTTTATCGATGGCAATTTGAATGCACAAAAATACAGTGACCAGATCCTGAGGCCCATTGTGAGGCCCATGTTTTTTAAGGTGTCTGTGACCAACAGATGCATATCTATTTTCCCACTCATGTGAAATCCATAGATTAGGGCCTAATTAAGTTATTTCAATTGACTGATTTCCTCAAATGAACTGTAAATCAGTAAAATCAATGAAATTGTTCCATGTTGCGTTTATATTTTTGTTCAGTATAATTACACTGGATGGTGTATCAATACACCCAGTCAAAGATACAGGCGTCCTTCCTAACTCAGTTGCTGGAGAGGAAGGAAACCTGGTTCAGGTTGCGTTCCAACAGACACTGGGAGATGAATTCACCTTTTAGCAGGACAATAACCTAAAACACAAGGACAAATCTATACTGTAGTTGCTTACCAAGAAGACAGTGAATGTTCCTGAGTGGCCGAGTTACAGTTTTTACTTAAATCTACCTGAAAATCTATGGCAAGGCCTGAAAATGGTTGTCTAGCAATGATCAACAACCAATTTGACAGAGCTTGAAGAATTTGGAAAAGAATACTGGGCAAATGTTGCACAATCCAGGAGTGGAAAGCTCTTAGTGACTTACCCAGAAAGACTCTCAGCTGTAATCGCTGCCAAAGGTGCTTCTACAAAGTATTGACTCAGGGGTGTGAATACTTATGTAAATGAGATATTTCTGTATTATATTTTCAGTAAATTTGCTAACATTTCTAAAAACATGTTTTCACTTTGTCATTATGGGCTAGTTTGTGTAGATGGGTGAGAAAAGTATTTTATCCATTTTGAATTCAGGCTATAACACAACAAAATGTGGAATAAGTCAAGGGGTATGAATAGGAAGGCACTGTAGATGGATCTGGTTTTCTAAGCACAATGTGTTCTCCAGATGGTCATACTGTATGTACTGTGAATTTCTTTCATACCGTATGTACTTTGAACTTCATTCATACTGTATGTACTTTGAACTTCTTTCATACTGTATGTAGTCTGAACTTCTTTCATATTGTTTGTACTTTGAACTTCTTTCATACTGTATGTACTGTTAACTTCATTCATATTGTATGTACTTTGAACTTCTTTCATACTGTATGTACTGTGAACAAAATAATGGGCTCCCCCTTCAGAGTCTGGTTCCTCTCACGGTTTCTTCTTCTTTTTCTTTTATCCAACCTACAAGGCCTATAGTAGATAAGTTTTCCTTGCCACTGTCTCCATTGTTTGCTCTTTCATTGGTTGCCTGTGGACTGTGGAGGATACATGTAATTGTGTGTTTGTGCTCTGACAATACTTGCTAATTGCCCCTCAAGGGATGAATCAAGTCATATTGAATTACACCTAACGCTGATAGATTTATATAGATTGAATTAGATTTGATATCACACATTTGACTGTAGAGAGATTACCTTTCATGTGCGATAAAACAGTATTCAACAATGTAAACAATAAAGATTAGGGATATGTGCTAAGTCAGGTGAAGTAAAAACCAAACTGATGGCAAGCAAGCAATCAGGAAGTACTGTATCTTATCCACCAACGTGTGGGTGTGTGTGTGTGTGTGTGTGTGTGTGTAGGGTGGTGTTTCTACTGCTGTCGTCAGGGTACATTGGCCTGCGGATCTTAGCGCTGGAGGAGCAGCTGAGTTCCCTAGGGGCCCTGCCTGAGTTCTCCATACACCACAGAGAGTGAGCAAACACGCACACGCGCACACACACACACCTTGGGGTAGTTTTCCATAGATGACTGTTCTTTGTTGTGATACTATCAAGCACTTTCAAGGAACTCCAAACTTGTACATAAAAAAAAGGAAGCCACTTCTCAAATTAAAAACCATTAAACTATGTATGGTGAAGCATGCATTATGGTAAGGCAAGGTAGCTCAAACCGGTTGTGTAGACGGAATGTTCTCAGACATCATGGGTACAGTACATCAGCAGCAGCAATCACAGAAGGTTAGAAGATAAACGGCCCCGGAGGAATGTCTCTTGTTTTTCTGCAAATCAGTCCACTTGTTATACATAACCATAACCACAGGAACACCCCTTGTGGGAATTTGAGTCTTCACTTTTTTAATATGTATGTGTGCGTGTCTGCATGTGATAATGTGTGAAAATATGTGGGAGAGTGATTCTCTTCCTCCTCCCACTGCTCCTTCTTCATTTACAGATACAGGTACAAGGAAACGTAGCCTGAAGAGACATACAGCAGGAAGAATAAAGAGCAAGCCTGTTTGTCCAAAGCCACAGTACAACAAACTATGCAGATCCACTTATAAAGGCTTTCAATTTCACGTCATCTTGTGACTCGTGAGCTGGACCATTGATAATATATTCAATATTTATTTCTGGATCCTGCTAATATGTTGAGGAGACAGATCACTTAAAAACTACGACTCTATCACCCCCTAGTGGTGTTTGTCAGAAATGTGGATAACCTTGACTTCACACAAAGCAACATGCCTTTTTTTTTCTCTTGGTATTCAGTAGAATTTGATTTCAGGCAGTCGCAGTCCACTCCTAAAATCAATTGTTTTACTGCACTATTTGTTTATCTCAGCTTAACTGGTAATGCCTGTTTTGATGTCTTGCTGTAAATTATGTTCTTTTTGTAAAGGAATCTCAAATTTGCTGGCAAATTCATTTTAGAGAAAGTGTCTAACTGTCAGTGGCCCTAACAGGCCAGCAGGGGGCACTCTCTCCTCATAAAAAAAAGCCTACTGTACTCACAATTATTATTAGTGTATCAATCAATATGTGTAGTATACTTTCAATCTATAAAATCATGTATTTGAGAAAAGGCTACTTGAAATATATTTGTTCTTCTTAATACAGTTCTTGAATGTCACCCTGCAAACTAAAATGGATTGATCACTGTTATAAAGCAGTTTCTCTGGACCCCTGCAAGTCGGAGTTCGGCCCCTCCCCTCCCTAAAATAAAATCGAATGCGTCAGCCAGACAACCACTCAAAGTATAGATTACTGATCGCTGTCCATAGTGCTGAAATTGCAACATGTCTATGCGGCTGCCTATCGAATCGATTATAGGCTTTCTGTGGCGCATGTTAGATAGATACATTATTATTGGTAGGCCTATTTGGTCGTCATTTTCTCATGCTAAGCTTAACATTTCATGAAGCAGTAGCCTCCTACATGGTGTCTGCTGGCTGGCGGCAATAATGTAATAACCTATTCGGTAATTAAAGTTGGAAATTCAAACATTGCAGATTGTAAAATTACTGTCCGATGTAACAGCATACTAATCAGCTACCAATAGATTTAAATATACAACTGTCCTGTATAGCCTACCTGAACGTGCATGACATGAGCCGTCCTTGCGCTCTCTCCCAGCTTGGATAGAAAGTTGTTTTGCAAAACAACTATACAGTCAGTCCACCTTCAAAACACTAGTTTACTAGGGGTTGTTTCATTATGCATTGTAGCCTACTATCTACAGCAGTAGCCTATACCGTAATTAGCTGCTATTTAACTGCTATTAGTAAGCTTTTTATAAAAATGACACATAAGCCTAACAATGAGGAAAAAAGTAGTCGGCTTGAGGATAAATCCAGCCACTAAATGATGTGAATGTTTTGTGTCTTTGCTCAGAACTTTGCACTTTTTGATGTAAATGTTTGAGGACAGGGTTTTGTTCTTTCTGGATTCCATTAGAGGACAGAGCAACAACTCGTACAATTCCAACTATTGAATCCTGCAATATATTGTTCTTAATTATACAACTACCTTTTTTGCCAAAGCAGAGATGCTGAAAAAAACGTGTTTAGCATGAGCTACATACCTATAATGGTTAGCTAATACTAGTAAAGGCCCAGTGCACTACTTTTTTGAAGAAAAAAACGATACATATTTTAATTTATTAATAATATTAATCATGAATCTTTAATAAATACATACATTATTATTTTTTTATTCCAATTTTTCAGGGGATGCTGCAGCACCCTCAGCACCCCTACCTCCCATGGCTATGGGCAGGAGGGTGACAGGGGGAGCAGCTGGCTGACTAGTACTGGTTATTCAGCAGCCTGACGGTCTGGGGGTAGAAGCTATTGGCCAGTCGTCTGTGATGGAAACGGAGAGAACAGGCCATGGCTCGGGTGGCTGGGGTCCCTAGTGATCTTCTTGGCCTTAATGTCACACCTGGTGTTGTAAGTGTCCAAATGGGCAGGCAAATTTCAAACTAAATTAAATGATTGTAAATCAAATTAAATCCAACATGAGGGACTCCCCTGTCCATTGCGCTGCACACAATTTAACTTATTATTGAACAGTGGCAACCTGTCATTCAGGGCAGGTGGGGCAGAACACAACCTGTTTTGAGCCCCACCTGTTTTGAGCCCCACCTGTTTAACAAAAAATGTATAGATATTTATATTTAAAAGAAATTGTGCCTGTTTTGCATGTTATTTTGGCATTAATACGTATCACATATCAGTTTGCAAACAATGTCAAAAAGAAAATCATTGAGTTAATAAAGCCTCATACAAACATGGTCTCTTTTTTGATTTCTTGAGTAAGGCAGCTACAAAATGCAGGTGTTTCAGCCGAGCTCAGTGCTTTCTGTGGTGGTGGGGCAGCCAGCGGAAAATACGGAGCGTAGGGATTGGTAATCGTCTCTAGTTGCGCCGTGATTGGCTCAGTGTTCTGTTACTCATCGGGACACTACGTCACCGCAAAATCTACGGGGAGAGCTCGAAAATTAAAGCCCCTTGGGTGCTGCCATAGATTTACATTAGAAGTGCCCATCCAAGAAGGCTCAAGGCCACAGATAAAATGATGTCAAATCACGTTATACAGTGGGGAAAAAAAGTATTTAGTCAGCCACCAATTGTGCAAGTTCTCCCACTTAAAAAGATGAGAGAGGCCTGTAATTTTCATCATAGGTACACGTCAACTATGACAGACAAAATGAGAAAAACAAATCCAGAAAATCACATTGTAGGATTTTTTATGAATTTATTTGCAAATTATGGTGGAAAATAAGTATTTGGTCAATAACAAAAGTTTCTCAATACTTTGTTATATACCCTTTGCTGGCAATGACACAGGTCAAACGTTTTCTGTAAGTCTTCACAAGGTTTTCACACACTGTTGCTGGTATTTTGGCCCATTCCTCCATGCAGATCTCCTCTAGAGCAGTGATGTTTTGGGGCTGTCGCTGGGCAACACGGACTTTCAACTCCCTCCAAAGATTTTCTATGGGGTTGAGATCTGGAGACTGGCTAGGCCACTCCAGGACCTTGAAATGCTTCTTACGAAGCCACTCCTTCGTTGCCCGGGCGGTGTGTTTGGGATCTTTGTCATGCTGAAAGACCCAGCCACGTTTCATCTTCAATGCCCTTGCTGATGGAAGGTTTTCACTCAAAATCTCACGATACATGGCCCCATTCATTCTTTCCTTTACACGGATCAGTCGTCCTGGTCCCTTTGCAGAAAAACAGCCCCAAAGCATGATGTTTCCACCCCCATGCTTCACAGTAGGTATGGTGTTCTTTGGATGCAACTCAGCATTCTTTATCCTCCAAACACGACAAGTTGAGTTTTTACCAAAAAGTTATATTTTGGTTTCATATGACCATATGACATTCTCCCAATCCTCTTCTGGATCATCCAATTGCACTCTAGCAAACTTCAGACGGGCCTGGACATGTACTGGCTTAAGCAGGGGGACACGTCTGGCACTGCAGGATTTGAGTCCCTGGCGGCGTAGTGTGTTACTGATGGTAGGCTTTGTTACTTTGGTCCCAGCTCTCTGCAGGTCATTCACTAGGTCCCCCCGTGTGGTTCTGGGATTTTTGCTCACCGTTCTTGTGATCATTTTGACCCCACGGGGTGAGATCTTGCGTGGAGCCCCAGATCGAGGGAGATTATCAGTGGTCTTGTATGTCTTCCATTTCCTAATAATTGCTCCCACAGTTGATTTCTTCAAACCAAGCTGCTTACCTATTGCAGATGCAGTCTTCCCAGCCTGGTGCAGGTCTACAATTTTGTTTCTGGTGTCCTTTGACAGCTCTTTGGTCTTGGCCATAGTGGAGTTTGGAGTGTGACTGTTTGAGGTTGTGGACAGGTGTCTTTTATACTGATAACAAGTTCAAACAGGTGCCATTAATACAGGTAACGAGTGGAGGACAGAGGAGCCTCTTAAAGAAGAAGTTACAGGTCTGTGAGAGCCAGAAATCTTGCTTGTTTGTAGGTGACCAAATACTTATTTTCCACCATAATTTGCAAATAAATTCATTAAAAATCCTACAATGTGATTTTTCGGATTTGTTTCCCTCAATTTGTCTGTCATAGTTGATGTGTACCTATGATGAAATTTACAGGCCTCTCTCATCTTTTTAAGTGGGAGAACTTGCACAATTGGTGGCTGACTAAATACTTTTTCCCCCCACTGTATCTATTGTAGCTTTGATTGGACTGATCATGTCAACATCATACTTTAAAAATCTTAGCTATCAAGCAGTCATCATCATGAATCAAATCGATCATTTAAAATCCTTGTCATATTTTACCAGACGCTCTTATCCAGAGCGACTTACAATTAGTGAGTGCATACATTTTCATACTGGCCCCCGCGGGAATCGAACCCACAACCCTGGTGTTGCAAGCGCCATGCCTTACCAACTGAGCTACACGGGGCCCATATGAAGAGAAATTATAGAAAATACGTTTTGAATGGTCATCCAACTCGGAATTCCAAGTCGGGAATGGGCCTCTTTCTAGCGTTCTGACCTGAAGATCACTGACATCATGATTCGATCTTGTTGAGTTCCCAGTTGTCTTGAAAGCACCATAAATCCAGAGAATGCCAGACAAAGTTTGCTCACAAGAAGGAACGTAGTGCCACCTTCCTGTTCAAGTGAGGACAGCACAAGGTGAGTCCAAAAATGTATTGTATGATGCTGCATAAGTTATGTAATATGCCAGGGAGATATGTATACTGTAGCTAAGAAAGTAATACTAAGTGTATGTTGTGTAGTAAGCTGTTAGAAGCCCATGTGCCTCACCCTAATAATTTGTTCTTTTTCCCCTCATAACTTATCCTACGGTTCTGACTTGGTGTACAGGGAGAATACTGTAAGAATGCCCCATGTTCTGAATTCTGTTGCTGTACATTTCAGTGCTGAACAAATAGTTATATTGACTATGTCGATCCTAGCTCGCTCATTAATGTCTTAATCTAAATTACGGATTGCCTCTTATCTGCTCGTCTTTCCCTTATGCCATAGTTTGAACATCTCAATTGTCAGTAGAAACCACATTTGTTTAAGCAAGTCAGCCATATCAGCTATGTTTTTTAAGATGCATAATTATTATGCAGGCCTAATTATCAATTATTGATTGCTTTTGTGCCTATTTTCACTATTTATCAAGCCACTTAGCGCTTATAATTACGTTTTGGCTACTGATGTTTTCATAATTTGACCGCACATCTTGCTGACCAATGACATGCATCTTTGTGGTTGGGGTATACATTTTTTATTTTATCATTAGAAAAATAAGCTGTTAACGCCTTCCAACACACATGCGTTATGTTTCATAGTTGTAACAAAGGCACTCCACGAATAAAATTGATTAAACACTTTAATTGTTTTATTTATTTTTTACATATATCCTACAGTAACATATAGTAATGAAAATGCTTGTGTTATTTTAAATAATAAATGTTTCGTATTCTTATATTACCTTAGACCTTCATAAACACAACCAAATGATGATTTTTGCGATTGCATATATGAAATGCATTAATTACACTGCTAGAATGTTGCAGTCAGAATGACTGCTCATTAGCTTGAAGGGGGGTCCCTCGAGGCCCAGCAGTTCTAGTTTTAATTTATTTATTGTGCGGCATGTGCACACATAGGAGGTGCCGTGAAAAAAACTTGCCCCCCCATGGAAATCATATGACCGTCCAACTGATTCGTTCTGGCTCCGGCCCAGCAGCGGGGAGATCGTTTTCTAAACTAAAACTCATAAAGAACTATAGAAGCATTAAAGCAAATGTATGCTTGATTTGAAAATGTAGTCGGAGGCTCCGTGTGGCAGGTGTGACGCAATTGCGGAGCCTCCGGAGGCATGCAGGGGTCAAATTGAGCTCTGTACCGCATTGCCGTGCTGTGCGCCTCCCAAATGTTGTAATAATGCAGAGGGCTCTGTTTAGCTCCGCATTGACATGATTGGTTGACGGTAGGTGGGAGGTCC